CGGGTCTAGTTTGACACATGCCCATTTCATCATCTGCCTTCCTTCGCACCTGCTGGCTTCCTTCGATCTTAGATTGGCAGATTGGCAAGCAGCTGAAATTAAAAGGGCCGCACGAGGCGACCAGAGCGGTGCGACCTTTTCTGGCATGTTGCTTTCCCCTCTGAAGTGGTCTTACCCTCCACATTAGGCCTCTCTTCAAGCTTTAACAAGCCTAGCAAGTTTGGCTTCAAAGAGTGGATTGAACATCCGTAGTATGCTTGATCTTCGACGCTCCAAACCGCGTTGCCTGACTTGGTCATTATCTTGATGCTAAATCCATGCCTGGATTTGACATGTCAAAGCATTTTACCCCCTTGGTTGAAGCCTCCGCATTCCGGATTGTATAAAATCAGCCGGTTGCTAAGGGATCGTTATGAAAGACAACACGACTCTGGCTCTACCCCTGGCCCCTCTTGGTCTGCAGGAAACAAACTATCTGACAGTTGGATGAAAAACGCATGAGCCGCCGCCAAAACTTGCTATATCATATCCTTTGGGTTGGGAAAATTAAAGACTTTTCGGGCCGGTTTTTGTGCCATCCAAATGGACAGGCTGGAAGTGACCGAACTTCGCATGTTAACCCAAAATTCACTTGCTGGGTGCGCAGCAAAAATGACCCAGGCTGAATGAATGCCGGGATTCCCTTAAAGGAAACCATAGGGGAAGGTTTGAAGGGGTCATTCCCTCATTCCCTTCATGAGGACCTTGGGGCCTTGGGGTGCGCTCGTCTTACGGGTAAGCTCGCTATTTGTGCGGTCCTTGCTTTGGATCGAGCCCCGGGGCGCCGCGCGAGCGCTTCCGAGCCCCATCCACAAAACCTGGAAGGGGCTTGAGGGCATTGATTTTGGCCAAAAGAAAAATAAAAAAAAACTGAAAAAATGGAAAACCCAAGACTACGAGGTTTTCATGTTTTTCATTTTTTCAATTCTGGCCACAGAAATCCTGTCAAAGTGACCGGTTGCAAACCACTTCTCATGGCCACAGAAAAAGTCCGACTGGTAGCAACAAGGAATCCCCGGGCCTTCGTCATCTTTCCATGCTACCGTTTGCACCATTGTAAGAGAAGGCGTTCAGAAGTGCGTTTCCCAAGAGGGATGGGGCAGATTGCTTCACACACACAGTGGAAGTAGGAATCTCGACGTAAGGGCCCATCCTTCGCCATGGCCTCGTTTTCAAATAGGAAAGCTTGCTGTGATTTGCCAAGAGTCACGTGGGGTGATTCAAAGTAGCGGAGCCGAGAAATGCGCAACTTCAACAACCGTGGATCCCAGACCTGTGCAACGGATTGACCTAAGAAACTTTGCAGTTTGCGAGTAAACATTGGAATTTCAGATTGGAAAGACTAAAACCTGCCGTCCATAGCCTGGTGGTTTAATTTTGACCAATACCCTCATAGCAAATCATGACACTCCAAGGATGTGGCTCACCAGGCTTGCCATGGCCAAAACCCCTCTGGGAATAGGGTGAATTCAAAATGTGATCGGGGGAGGGTTGGGTTCACTCGAGTGCGGTCAGCCACTAAGTAGGCAAGTTGCCTCCAGTCGTTGCCGCGGAAACAATACCTTTGTGGGAGGTGGAAACTGAAAGCGCGTACCCCTAGTTTCCTTCAAAGACAAAAGGCGAGCTATCCGCTCTCCGGTATGCAACCAACGCTTTTCTTTGGCATCAAGAAGGTTCTATGAAGGTTCTGTGGTCCTTTCGCGGAGTGCATTTACCCGGATTCCATTTTGTTGACCCACAGCCATGCCATACCATTTTGCTTGCCAGCTTACGCACCGAGTTTCTGCCGAGTCGCGCGTTCGATGAGACAATGAGGAACCTGGGTGTTTCAAACCAAACAGGGCTAGCCCCAAAAACAACTACCCCCTACTTCCCACTGAAACATTCTCACCTTAAACTCGACAAACAACGATGCTTGCAACCACCAGACGAAACATGGGTTTGCCTCGAATCAAAGACCCCGCAGGTCGCGCCAGTTGAAACCTGCGACCTCCAAAAGAGGGGCCTATTCTTCCAGTTGTTGTTTCGGAACCCTGGTAGAGAAAAGCCAACCGTTTCTCTCCTCCGTGGGGTTAAGGTGAATCGATCGAATCCACTGGGCCGGTGAGAAGCGCTTGGGACTCTTGAGCCAATCACCTTCCGCAGTGGCGAAATCTGCGAGCCCCTGCTAAAAGTGACTAACTGTTGGTGGTTTCATTCGGAAAACCCATGAGTTGGATCAAAAAGTTAAAGTCCTAACATCCCGCAAGATGCGCCAAAGTTATGTCTGGGACCTGGCATGGACCCTCGGTTCTCATGTCAGGCTGCCCGGCTCTGAAGCTGCTTGGCTTCCTGGCGGAGAAAAAAGCAATCAAGGAGACCAGTTAAGCGAAAGCGGCTGGTCACATGAAACCATCCAAAACGGGCCTCCTACTGTGGATGGACAAAGTCCTGCACCTGGATGAAACCCTACAAGTACTGGGATCGGCCCAGTATTTCACGCATCGATGCGACATGGATTTACCCACATGCTTTGGAAATGCCATGCACCCCGAAAGTTCGCTTTTTGATCGGCCCAGATCAAGGTGGACCCTTGGGAGTCCAAACAAGCAGTTCAAACAACCCCCGGGCCAAGCCCCAACTCCAAGCAAGAAGGCAAGTAGGCAACGAACAAACGAACCAACCAATGAGAGGACGAAAGAACGACAGAAAGAACTAATGAAAGAAAACAAGAAAGAAAGAAAGAAAGAAAGAAAGAAAGAAAGAAAGAAAGAAAGAAAGAAAGAAAGAAAGAAAGAAAGAAAGAAAGAAAGAAAGATATAAATAAAGACAACAAGAACAAAATAAATAAAAACAAAACAAAACAAAAAACAATGAAAGAGCAAATGAAAGAGCAAATGAAAGAGAGACAAAACAACCTAAAAATAGAAGAAACAAAAAAGAAAGAAAAAACGAAAGAAAGCAAGACCTACAGACGCAAACAAACCAACAACCAAACAAACAAACAAACAAACAAACAAACAAACAACTAAACACATCACCCAAGTATGGAGGCTCTCAATTGGGCCCAGGATAGTTATTTGCCACCACAAAAAATCAGTGGAAACAACAAATCCGACACCGTCGGGGGTAGCTATTCCCGACCAAAAAAGTAGGCTCTAGTTGGCAGAACAAAACCCGTTGACTATTCCATGAGCATCAATAAATACTCAGGCCGTCACGATATTCCTAAATGTTGACCGCACAGCTATGCTATGTATTAATGGGGTCTCCCCACTGTAAAACAATTCCCCTTAACAACCGCCGTCATTCAATTCAAACAATTGGCCGATTCACCCAGATTTGGCTACACTGGTGGAACTCCTTTTAGTGCCGGACACCACGAGGACAACCGTTGGTGTACCATTAAAAGGGAGACCTTTTCGGAACACATCAAACCTATCAAACCTATCAAACCTACCCGAAACCTACCCCAAACCTATCCCAAACTTACCCAAACCTACCGAAGTGAACCTCTTCCCACGCCTACTCACCCCTACGTCCCTGACTCCCCGTCTTACCGCTCCTGAGACTCCTCATCCGGCGTTACCTCCGGCCTTGGAGCGGGCAAAACCCACTGGTGGGACCCGACCGCAAAACCTATGGCTCCATTTTGGGGAGGAACGTCCATGCGCCACCTATTTTGAGGTTCACCCGGGGTTTCCTGGGTTTGGACCATATTATGGGAGAAAACCACCACTCTTGGAGTCCAACTTTTTGGACTTCCTATGAGAAAACCACCACTCTGAGCGGTCGCCACTAACCCCAAGACATCCTGAAAAAGAACAAATCGCATAAATGCCTTTCTACGTCCGACACTAAACAAAAAATCGACGGGCGGTTTGACCATGAGGTGAACTACAACCCCCGTACCGTGGAGGCTCTCATTCTGTTTGAGGAGCATCTTCTTGTCCGCCAACCACCAGTAGACCACCCAAAGGGTCTCTTGGTACCCTTTGAGGACCATCACCGGGTATCGGTTCGCCCAAACAGTCCCTGATGAACTGAGGTTCGTGCGCATCCATCGAGGGCACAGCTGTGGTCAATGGTCAATGTATCCTTTGTGGCAGTTGTTTGTGTTTGCGCTGTTGTGTTATGGTATGCTGCTTCTTGTTCTTGTGTAAAAAGCTTCTTCAAGTCGCCTCTGTGAGTGCTGTTTGCCTGGTCTTGTGTGCCTTCGGTCTGGCTTTGCCTCTCTCTCAGAAGACTCCTGAGAAAACTGCCGGGTGAGGGGGAGTGTCGGCCGCGGGTATGCCAGAGCCAAGCCTGCCTGGCCGCCTCTTGCCCAGCGTTTTCTTTCCGGCTGACCCGATGAACCAAACGCAGGTGGCTAAGCAGGTGTTTGAGGGTACCCTTTTCACCCTAGGAAGTCAACATGACCTCCAGCACATGAAAAGAGACCTCCCCACCCGGGCCACCCCGTGCTTTCCCCTTTTGGCCGACTTGCGTCGCTCCAAGCATCTGCCCGCCGCCCGATCCGGCGGATCCTTGCTGCTTGCCTTCAGTTTGAAGGTATTGCGCTGGATCTGGTGGGGGTCATGGGCCTTCGATCCAGACTTTGGGTGGATTCCAGCCAATGATCCGAGCAACTCTTGGGAATAGAGGTTCAACTTGTTCTTTGCCATCTTTGCCTTTGATCCCGTGCAATGTACCATGCAATGTACCATACAGAAACAACCAGTTGGTCTGGTTCAAAGTGCTCTTCCAGAATCCCCCGTGTTTTCTGATCCATCAGTGAGCCTTGAAGTGTGACATCAAATGAGATCGACTTAGCTGGAAACAGGCGAACCTTGTGGGACTCATGGACTAAGACCCTGCAGTTTCTTTGCTTGCTGTTAATCAGGAGATGCAAGACACCCCTGGGGCGCAAAGTGAATAGTTTAGTCTGGCAAAAGTTGAGAAGTGACTTAAACCAACGATCTGAAAACTATAGCTTGATCGCGGCGGGGGAACTCAAAATGAGCAGCCGTAAACATTGGAAACCCTCTCCTGACGTCCTGACGTTGGGGCAATTGGTCGCTGGTTTTGGGCCGCGGATCAGTCCGAGTCGGAGGACTCGGAAGTGCCGCGGGACCGGTCGCCGAAGCCCAAGGCACGGCCGAAGCAGGTCTCCGCCGCAAAGGTGTCGATGAACCTCGGGACAGGGCCATCTATTTTTCGACCAAGACAACCAAAAAGGACACCTATGCTCAGGGACACTGAGCCCATGGCGCCGTCGGGCGAAGTGGTTTGTACCGAGCCAACGTCCGCCGACTCACGGGCTGGACTGGTGGTCTGGGGTGTTGCCGACACCCCGCACCGCAGTTCAACGTTTGCTCATCCATCGTGCACAAAACATCCAAGTCCCGAAAGAAGGGTGCCCTCAAACCAAAGACACACACACTTGAACTCCAGATGGAGTGCTAATCTTTCGAGTACAACTGATGAGTCTCGAGTACAACCGATAAGTCTCGAGTATGATGAGTTTCGGCTCGCAATGTATTCGGCTTCCTTCTAGTGTCGAAAACGTTACCAGAAAGAACAAGAAGCACAAACAGCGCCGCAACCAAGGGGCCAAAAGGACTTTCAGAATCACTGAAGCAGGTACAGGTGTCCACGTCTGGACACCCTTCCCACCTTTGGCAACAGCTTCATTGCGTGCAGTATGCCAAAGGTGCTGCACGCCCCTGCTGCGAAGCCGAAAGGGTGGTGACAGGGCATTCTGTCACTCCGCACACACACACACACACGTGGAAAGACACACAGTCACACAGACACACAAGCACAGAGAGAGAGAGAGAGACACACACAAAGGCACACAAACACACAAACAAATAAGAAAATAATAAAACAAACAAATAAAGAAACTAACAAACAAACAAGCAAGCAAGCAAACAAACAAACAAGCAAGCAAGCAAACAAACAAACACACACACACACAATCCGGAACCCCCCTCTTTAGGTTCCATGATCATTTGCCTCCTTACCTTCAGAAAGATGCGGATGCGGCGGGAAGGGGCGGGGGCATTTTTGGTCCGCAATTCCAAGCACAAAGAGAAACATTGTAATTGTAATATATTGAAACGTTTCGCGACCAAACAGGTGATTGGGTGGTTGGACATGTTGGATTCATCTCTATTTGTTTCAAAAGAGATCCCACACAACTGCACTCCAATTCGATCCCCGCAGAGAACACTGTGCCGATTTACCAGCGGTTGCGACAGCAACCAAACAGCCTGACACTGGCCACTTTTCAAGGGAAGCCAAAAGGCGAGCTTGTTCAAACAATAAGGTGCTTATGTCTTATTATTGTGTTTTCCTGGTTCTTTCTAAGAGGGGGATACCCCAACGACCATAGCATCCAAAAGTGTGGCCCGGGCCAGGCCAAGGTGGCTGTGGGGATGAAGTCCGTGAAGGGCAAGATCTCCTCCGATGTGCTCGGCCCGGGGTCAAACAATTTGTCGGAGGGGCGGGGGGGGGGGGGGAAGGGGAGGGAATGGCTTGCTGGTCCGTCGGGATGCCTTTGTTTTTAAACGACCCTCTTAAATGAAACCAAGCGTTCCTTGAGCCCAACTCCGACTAAATGCAAAGAATCAAAGGGGCGGTCGTACCTATTTCTGGCTGTGGCTGATGCATTGAAAGATTGCCAAGCATGTCGCATACACATAAGCTTGACTTTTGGTGATGTTTACATACGTTTTCGCAACCGCAATGAAACGAGGTAGTAGAACCACCTACTAAACATGGCCCTTCTGCGGTGTTGGGTACTGCTCACATAATTGTTCAAACCTGCCCAGGCGTCTTTCCTCCAGGTCCAACTAAAAAAGCAACCTTCATGTCACCTACAATGGACCCATGGCCCAAACATCAAACCCATTCATGGAGCCCCTGATAAAAATCGCTTGATTTCAGGCGGTTCCCTCCTTGGCGCGGCGCGTTTTGAAAGCCATATTCAATTGCAGAACCGTGACCAACAAAATATTGACTCAAGCTTGCGCAGATCTCTAAAGATGATCCTTGAAGTGCGGCATGGAATTTGCAACAGGTCCCTTCAAGGAGCCTAACAGCTACGCAGAACAAGATGTGACGTCTAATGTCGACTTTGTCCTCCCCAGAAAAGAACTGTCCAGTTTTGAACTGAGAGGAGTGGACCTTGGCCTATGAGCGCTGGGCCAACTTCTCTCCAACTTGCTCTTTGAATGCTAGCTTAAACTCGGTAAGAAAACCATTCAACAACCACCCTTCAACCCATCCAACAAAGAACCCACGGACCCATCCACCCAGCTTTTCAACCACTTTCAGGAACCCAGGGAACCCATCCAACCGAAAAAACCGAAAAAAAATCCCCTTCCCCGAGAGCGCCTCAAGGAAGCCCAGGCCGGCCATGCCTGCTGGCTCTCAGATTCGTGGGAGCTGGGGCTGGCCTCTGAACATGGGAAGACAAACCGCCTGTTGAAACCGATCCGATCTCCAAGAGGTTACAACCAACTCGGTTAAATATGTTTTAACCTATTGCTATGAGACAGCATCCTTTGAGCTTCCCCTGAACGGGTGCCGGTTTCAACGTATGGTTCCCTCTGTTAAGCACCCAAGGTCACATGCGCCCGAAGGATCCACAACGTTGGCCTCTCAAAGTACACAGCGGGGGGGGGATACCACTGAACTGGGGAAGTCAAAAGATCGAAACTGGGATTGGCCCAACGGCTGAACCCCAATGGCAGGAAACAAACAGCGACTTGACAAGCTGCAAATCCATCAATCCAAGAGGTGAAGCACTAGGCTGGGGCCAACCAACTCTTCATGCTTAAACCACTGTTCAGACAGTATCGAGGACTGGTTGTTTGAACACATGTTGCTCTCCGTTAACACCCAAGGCGACATCCTCCCGAAGCACGGGTTGGGGTGATGTGCACACTTCGATGCGTTTGGTAAGGGGTAAAGGCAAGCTCTGGACTTGGAAATGCCCCATGATCCGCGGCCATCTCCTACAATTGGATTCTGACTACTGGATTTGCTGATGCCAAATGCTGTCAACAAGCGAAAAAGAGAGAGAGAGAGAGAGAAAAAAAAAAAAGAAAGGAGAGAGGAGCAAAGCACAAGCCTCAAGATAAGGTTGCACCCTCCCGCAAAAAAAAACATGGACGTGCACACCGCCACATGTTCTGACTGCCAGCATTGCTCCTGACTTCACCCCTCTCTGCATACGTTCGTCATCACTAATCAAACTGAACTATGAGAATTAACCAACACAAAACAACCCTGAAGGTCCGAGGAGGTGCTTTGACCCCTTTTAACCCCTCCAAAGCCTTTCTCAATAATTAAGGGTTCTCAACGAAAGGAGCCTTCAGCATGAGTGGTCGCAAACTAAACCTGTGGTGAGCTCCGAATTTCCAAGGAAGCCCTAGAGGGTTTCAAATCAATTGGGGATACGGGTTCCACGATTGAGAGTATTGAACCTCTCAAGCTGGGGTTGAACAAATGTTTCTTTCAAGTTCTTTGGTTTATGGGCAAACATGGGCTGTCTTGTCCTCATGTCTTCCCCAGTCCCATTTCCCATAGCTAGCCATAGCCACTCTGGAAAGCTCAAAGCTGACTTGAAGGCTTACAGTACCTACAAAAATCTGAGTGTTCATCTTCGGCCACCGAAGAAAAACAAAAAGGGGGGGGAACAAAAAAAAAACACGATCCCAGGATATATCCCAAGCTCCCAGAGCGGTTCATCGTCACTGGGATTGGATTTTGGATCCTGAGCTCACGGCTCCGGGACTGGAAGAGCATGATCAACGCGATGGACTGAGCCAGCCGATGGGAAGAACCATTGCTCTGACCGACTCTGGGGATCCTGGGGGATTAAATTCGAGCCACTCAGGTTCCGACAGAAGTTCAGGTCCGAATGGGCCCCGAATGGGTATGAACTTGAATGCGCCGCGAAGCCCATCTGGGCTGCTCAAAATGGCAGGTTGGCCAATTCATAATCCTTGTGGGAGACCTGAGAACACCTACAAAGGGGACTCCTTGCGAAACTCACGGTATGGACTAAGATTGCCGCCCTTGACTTTGGGCAACGTGGCGCGCCCAAAAAAAAACCATTGTGCACAGTTGAGATTCCAGAGGGTCTCGTGGTGCCCTTTGAGGATGAGGGGTGAAAAGGGGCCCCTCCGTACCTCGGAAGGTACGGAGCTCTTGCAAGCCGTTCTTGCCGCTCCGCCGCACCGAAAAAAGACCATAGGCTTGATGGTGGGGTATATACACATTGAAATAATATGCTCAGGTTGTGTTTCTTATTAGATCAACCCGACCGACCAACCGACCAACCAACCAACCAACCAACCAATCCAGGTTGGTTGGTTGGTTGGTTGGTTGGTTGGTTGGTTGGTTGGTTGGCTGGTTGATGTGTGGCCAGAACTTGTTAGTGAGCGCGCTTCCCCCCCGGCCGAAAGATTGCGGCCTACCCCAAGAACGACAAAAGCATTCAAAAGCTCGGGTTTGGGACGGAGTTTCTGAACATCAACTTGTCCGGTCGTCCCCTCTGCTGCTTTGAGCTCTCCCCCGTTTACCATGCTCCCAGCACAAATGGCCCATGTGTTTGAGGCCCCCTTTCATTTGTTCTGCATGGGGAAACCCTGGTCCTAATCCGTACTCCGTAGTGGACAAAACTACAGCAAGGAGAACCACATACCATCTGGCGTAGGCATTGCGGATTCATGTTGAACCCAGAAACACAGAGACATCCCCTGTTTGGACAAAGGAATGCCAAAGCAACCTTGCAAGGACCGCCCTCCCCTTCGATTTGCATGCTCCAAAGACCGTTTCAAATTGAAACCTCACTCAAAACCAACCAAAACATCTGCCCTCCCTGGGCACTTCGGCTTCCGCAAGAACACGCAAATCAGAAGACCCTGGGGTCCGGATACCGAAACAAAGGGCTGAGAGCCCAACAGCGGATTCAGGACACATCTCACACGACCCAAATGGGGAAAAACATGGCTGATCCATGTGTTGTTCCCACTTCCGCTCTTGGTGGGCAACCTTTAGGACCAAAAAGCTGGTCCAACTTCATGCTTGACCCGAGGAAAGTCATCGCTGAATCCCACTATGGGGAGAAGCAAAGGCCACCCATAAGCTTTTGATCGGCTCTGAAGATCGGTCCAGGAAGCCAGCTCTCCTTACTTCAGCCATTTTCTTTCACGCCTGGGTTTGTCTCCAAATACAGGCCCTGCATATTGTTTTCCCTTCCAACCATGGGGTTACAACTACCAGAAGCAAACTTTCAAAACCACTCAACCAAGACACCCGCCCCACCTTTCATCCGTCCCCAAACTTGAGTGCAGGCGAAATCCGGCACCTGGAAAAAGAAAAGCAGAAATGACCTTCCCTTTGAAGTCCTGGAGGGGAAATCAAAACTACTGGCCTATTTAGCACCCAGTTCAGAAACACGCGCCACACACCAATGAAGCTTAAGACATGTTTGTCCATGCGCTTTCTGGGATTCACCGGAGAAGCCTCATTTTTATAGGGGCAGCCTGCAACTATCTGCGTAGTTCGGTCCACATCCGTTTATTCGTCTCCCGTGGCCCAACCCTTTGACACCCCCCCCCCCGCCATCGCCTGGATGGGCGCGTAGGCCAAATCCGCGGCCTCCCCCGCTCCGGGGACGAAGTAGGTGGAGTCGCCCATGAGGTCCAGGCCTCAACAAGTTGGTCCCGCAAGAAGGGACGGTCAGTACCCCTTGGAAAACAGAATCCATCCAAGGGAGCATGCCTCCTTTTGACCAGGGCACCCAAAAAACTCCTCGATTCTCCTGTTCTGGTTGGTCTGGTGAGTCTATATTCCTCTTCATGTTGTCTACTCTCTTGTAGCTGCATGGTCAGCGTCATGCAACTGGTCTTTGATTCGTGTTCATCATGTGGTTGGCTCAAGTTTGATCTGATATATTTGATCGTGTCAGCATTGTTGGCCGGATGGAATCACGCTAAACCTGCAATCGATCGATTCCTCTGGCTGACTGGATGCGACAACTTGGGAATATTGAGTTTGGCTTCCAGAAACGCTCAGCCATGACCATGGTCGAGAAAGCCTCTAGCCCTACACGACTCACACAGGTGGAAAGGCATGTTGCATTGTTTATGATAGCAGCCCTTTGTGTGTTGCCAACTCGTTGCGTCCGGCCGTGCTGCCAATCCAAATGCGACGGCATGGAACGGCTCAGGTCGGGAACCACTTCCACCTGCACCAAGTCTTGCTATGGCATTCACCCGGCTCTATGTACCTCATACATGATTTCATTTGAATAATATGTACTTGACGGAAGTCCCGTGAACCAAATCCCAAGACGTAAAGTATGGTGCCAAGGGACTCTCTGGACACTTTGCCAATTCTTGGGCTGTGGGCCTCGGCATCTCTTTCATTGCAGCTGCTTTCTGAAGGGTTTCTCATGAGTCGAACCCCCCAGAAAACACAACTGGTTACTATAACCTCCATGAACCCAGCCAGTAGAACCACCTACCCAATATTTTTGAACGTTGGGCAGTTGAAGCACCAATCAGTCGGCTTTCTTGCCAGTAAGTGACAGGTCCGAATTGTTCGCGGTCTTATTCCCCAACAGCTGGGGTCTCTGCTCAAATAAGCTCTGAGATGGTTTGGATGTTGGGGATATACGGCCTGGGCTTATCTGTGTGGGAAGTTCAGCGGCGCTGTCGATTGCGTGGCCTTTCTGTTCTAGAAAGCTGGCAGCGAAAAGTGACAGTGAATGCAAATATTCGGACAGCACCATCGATGCTAAACCTCTCTGGATGCAATGCGCCATCACTTTTCCAGATCCACATTTGCCTCCCATGAAACACAAATGATGGAGGCGACCAGCCTGGTCTTTGAGAGCCTCCCCTGATTGGCTGGGGAGAGGAGAAGGATTGAAGCTCCAGAACTAGTGGTTGATCAGGTTGCGCGGCATGTGCGCAAGTCACAAGTCACAAATCGCAAAGGCACGGGCATGACGGAATCTTATGGCACACCGCGCCTTGCTTGTTGCGTGCGCAGCGCCGTGTCAGACTCAGGGGCGAACCGGGGCGAACCTCTGGCCGGCGACTTGCAGCACACTCAGAATCGCAGGCGGCCCAAGAAAAGCTTGTTCGGACAGAGAGGGTTAGCGGATGGGCTATTTGCTCAGGTGCCTTAAACCATGTCAAGCCAACTGGGCGACCTGTCAGTAGCAGTACACGGTCGGCCATGAAAGGAGTGGGTGACTCCGCTCCGGCGCTTCCAGTTGCTCGTTGCAGAGCTCGCGTCTTGACGAGCACGGAATGATTGCTCCCAGCCCAAGGAGCTTTGCAGGCCTTCAGTTGAATCCACGATTTCAAAGCCAATAGCAACAGCCACGACCTGGTCATCACTAGAGTGACTATTCTAGGGGCCTGTCCTGCATACGTCAAAGGGCCATAACCTTCCCATGCCCCTCCGTGTCTCGACGCGACGAGGTCCAGGCCAAGGCAGGCGGCTAGCTTCAAAAGCTGCCCAGCCGTCAGGGCCTGGAAAACCGAAAAAAAGGAATGAGAAAAAAAAGAAAGAAGGAAAACAAAAAAAGGGGGGGAGAGGTGGCTGGGTGTTCAATAGGGGGCTGGGGGTCACAGGGCTCGCTATATTTCCCCTTAACACATCACCCCCACCAAGGGACACTTACCTTTCATGGGCCAAATTTAAAACCACAAGGGACACATAGGGACCCCTGTTGGGGTCTGGGAATTGGAATTGAAGGACAAGTTGGATTATTCAGTGCGTGATTCCAGTAGGTACCAAGCCCTCCCCCATCTTGCAATCGACCTGGTTTTACCCATGCTGCGTTCGGACTGCCGGGGACCAGATAGCTTTGCAAATTTTGTAAATCGAGCACAGGGAACAAAACGACTTCAACGAAGGCAGCGTGAACTCCATGTGAAACCACCGTGAAAGAAAAACCAAAAACGTGAACTCGACTTGCAAAAAAAGTCGCTGTCCGTCGCTTTGCGAGAGCTCGGTTTCGGAAAGGTGTGGCTACAACTTTGGCCTTTGGCTGCATGATTTGAAACTTGAAGTCTTATAAGTATGTTGATTACACGGGTCTTCAACGGACTTTTATAGGAAACAGTTACCATTTTTATGGCTGCATGCGTTGATTATATGAGAAAAAAAAACAACAACATGAAACCGCACAAAAAAAAAAGGTGAGTTTGGGTCTTCAACGGTAACGCAGTGTCGTTGTGCCCACGTTTGGAAGGGCTGGGAAGGGAACCGTTGAAAGTAACAGGAAAACGGCTGGGTCCGCATATTCCCCAAACCATCACCCCAAAGGAAACCTTGAAATTGCTCAGCCAAAAGGTGACGTTTGAAACCACACAAAAGGAAATACATTGTATCCGGCCATTTCTGGAACCTCATTCACTGGGCAGTTTGCCTTGCAATTGTCCCCTCAAACCGCCACGCCAAAAGCCCACGCCCTCAACCAAAAAAGAGACCCACCGCCTTTGCGCAGCCCGAGCGGGGCAGCGCAGCAGCAGCAGCGGCCTCGGGAGATGCCACTTATCTGGGCTGTCCGTTGTCTGATCCCCTGCTACAAGTTGACGAACTTGTGGGTTAAATGGAAGCCAAACCAGTAAACCAACCAAAAAGCTAAAAAGCCAAAAAGCTAAAAAGCTAAAGAACCGGATGGCTGGGAACCACCAAGGTATATGGGTCAAAATGAAACCGCCAGGATATTGACCGCAGGTTCAAATCCTTGTTTCCGTTTACCAGGGCAACCCATCTTGGGGTTGCCCGATTTTGGAGCACCACCACTTCGTACCAGTTGGGATGGATGACCTAGGCATATCGGGATACGGGATAGACCACCTACCAGCCGCAGCATTTTGTCCATAGGCGCGGCCTTTCCGGCCTTAATCTGAATGGGGTTCGACCTCGATGCCATTCAAGGATTGGCAAAGACGCAAAGGTAGTTCAACGGGGCAGATTTCTTAGACCCACAAAATGGTGGGTGTCCTTTTGGATTCCCTTTAAATCAACCCCAAAACGGGGCGAGAGGTGTGTTTTGTTCCTAGAGCTGGTTGTTTCCTAGGGCTGGTTTTCCGCAGGGCTGGCAACATACCCAGCATTACTTAGCCCGGGGGTTGGTTATTGGCATTGATTGGGAGGCAGTTGGGAGTTGCTAGGGGCTGGTCTAAGTTGGGGGGGTTTAGGCTGGCTTAGATCTTGATTCATGAGGGTGGGTCTTGGGATGGTTTGGGGTTGATTTAGGCAAAGCGCAGGGCTCACATCCAGGCTGCAGTTGGCAACCCGTCTTTTGGGTTGACCATCTTAGCTGCGAACCCAAACACAATCAAACAAATTTGCACCTCCCCCCCCACTTCGTGGCTAAAGGGGGTCCGTCCTAAAGGGTCCGCTGCACCGCTTAGGGCCAACAAAAAGTAATTGAGGGACCCCTTGTTTTCTATGCGCACGCACTTGCGACAACGCAGGACAGCTCAACACGAGATTCCTCGGGGGTTGCTCGTCTGCAGGAGAGGTTTTTTGCTGAGCAGATCCGTATGTGCTCCCCACATTGCAGTCCTCTGTTTAGGAACCTTCATCTTGGGCCGGTCGCACATGTTTTGGAAGCTATTAAAAATGATGCCATTCGAAACGTGATGTTACCGAAGAAAGGTCTGAAAAGGAAAAGAGGGAGTCGATTTCATTTCTGGTTGAGGTGTTTATTTTTGCCCTCCCCCATGTGGCTCTGAAGAGGTTGGCCGGGAACCCTTGCTTCGCTCTCAGGTTGGGGGCAACAGGCTATTCTCTGGGGGCCTAGTTGGCCAGGTCAACCAACCACCCCACCACCCAACCACCCAACCACCCAACCACCCAACCACCCAACCACCCAACCAACCAACCAACCAACCAATCAACCAATCAACCAACCAACCAACCAGTCCCCGGGGCTAAGCCCCAAGCCGGGGCTAGCAAAAAAAGCAAAGCACCGGTTCCTTCATGAGTTGAAACACCACCTCTCGCTCTCAACTCTGGGCACCGCGCCGGCGCCATGGGATGTCCTGTGCGACTTGGACATCACTCAATGCTGTCTGAAGGGAAGGAAATCTATCTAGGTGTGGAGACATTCATCGCACTCATCCAAATGGTTGTCCAAAGGGAAGCCGAAAGGAATCCATCTACACTGTCAGCTGTCCTGTAGGCTTGGACACATCCAGTGCTACATAGACAAAGAGTACTCTAGTTCGCCAGCTGGAAACAAGGGACCTTCATGGAATCGCAGTCTTTTTTGCCCATTTCCGAGGTGCCTTTGTCTAAAGTGAATCAGCTGGAGTCTCCATTTTCTTGGGCGTCCACCAGCCAAAAATAAAGGTTCCCTGTGAGGTAACGAATCACTTTGCAATCTCAGTTCACTCCATGATTCCCTGGAGGGGCGGGTGTAAGCTTACACATATCAGGATCCCAAGGAACGCTCCTATGCTGTGTCTTGTTGAAAGAAAGCTACAAGGCAAGGACCATGGGTCAAATCAACAAACCTACTTCTGGATCAACTGGTCAATGTGCAAACAAGGGGTCCTTTGGGGGGGCAACCATCTGGGACTAGCAACAAACAACAAACCTAAGCCTTGGACACGTGCCCATGTCTCAAGGGGATCTGCTAACAAAGGCAAGCTCGTTTCTTGACCAGTTGCTCCAAATCCCCATCCCAAAGGGCTCTTTGTAGCGTCACATTGCGGAATCAGGACAAGTGTAAGCAAGTTTACTGGGCCAAATTCGTCAGGGGCGTTTCGGGACTGCTGCCAGCCCGCAACTTACACCGAGCATCGCACCTTGGCCAGCGCCCCGCAGTGGAGAGGAGCCCTTGACCTGAGTATTGACTCCCGACTCAGACCAGGGCTTGTGTGCCAAGGGGCGGGGGGGGGGGGGAATGCCGTGTCCTTTGATTTCCCCACCTCTTTGGCCAAGGACAGCGGCCAAAACCAAAGCGGCACAAGGGCAGAAATTGGACCCAAGCGAGGGACCTGAAAATCGGAGGACTGACTGGCAAACCTGGGACTGGGAGACCGCCTGAAGTGCATATCACCGAACAGCGGAACCTTGCTGACTTTCAGGATGAACAAAAGTGCGTCGGGGGTGGCATTTTATGACTTTGAAGAGGTTCCCTGGGTATCACAGAAGGTCAACTCCTGAAACCCTACTTTGGGTGTCTTGTTTTAGGGCCCCCCCAAAATGGCGGGTGTCCTGTTGGTTTCCCGCTGTTCCCGTTGGGGTTTGAGCATCGTTTGGACCTGCTCCCCAGGTGTGTCGAGAACTCCTCTGTGCAATGCTGGCTGTGCTTGCAACACAGACGCGCCTGGCGCAAAATTGGAGTTAAGCCCTTTGAATGACTACAAATGCACGTGTTTTTTTTCTCCTTCGAGGTGTCTCAAATAGGGGTTCCTAGAACGGTTGGTTTCCTTGTTCTTCTGTTTACATGCCAACCAAAAGGGGGTCCACCGCTTGGAGAAAACCCCATACAATGCTGTTCGCTTCATTCCGGCCACTGCAAAATTAAAGGCTGAACAAAAACCTCAAATGGACTCGAAATCACCGTGCAGGCGATGGTGATTGCAAGAACCAGCACCAGCCCACAACCTCCAGTGCCAGGCCAACCATCCCCAATGCCGTCAAACGAGTTGAGCTGGCCATTTGGGTTCCCTTTTTGCACCACTGCAATAGGGGGACGGTCATGAATCCGCACAGTTTGTGCAATAACTAAGGGATTTGAAGAACCTCACAAAAAATGGTGTATGCTATTCAGCAAGCACGATAGAATGAGCACACCCCTCTTTTCCCCCACAAGGGTTTATCGACTTGAGGGTGCCGTTTTAAAAACGAACCGATGCCCCCAAAAAGCTTAACCTTGCAAGTCTTCGCGGTCCAAGACCTGTTTGGGGCCTATCGGCCTGCAAGTTGGTGGTGGTGTTGTCCGCAATCGTCATGCTGCTTAAGAGTTCAAATGATAGTGGTTCGTCGGCTGCTGGGTTTTCTCAATATGCCCTCCCCCCCTATTCATGAGGTGGTTTTGATACCTGTTACCTGGACACCGGGCAGTGACCCTGAAATACGACCCTTCACTTTCACAGGGGAACTCCAGGCAAAGAACAGAGACTTGCACTGTGTTTGCCAAGCTCGTCCTAGACGAACAATCTCGCCAGAGGAAATGCATTGCCCGCATCCGCTCTGCGAATGGTGCGCCTCCGAATGCACCCGCATCGCCCACTGCACCTCGTTTGCAGGCGAAATGCAGAGCAGCAAAACGTCATGCTTAGCGTCTGTTCGGGGAATTGAGATGGTCGATGGTCAAGACATTGTGGAGATGGTCAAGATGTTGACTGCCTGGTCGCCAGATAGCACAAACAACGTGTTGAACAGGCTGCTCAACTTGATGCCGGCCTAGACTGTTGCTCAAGCTCTCGGGGGCATGAATGCC